CATAAACAATGAAGCAGGTACTACTTAAATAAAATCAACTGGAGTAGATACTTAAATAGTATTGACTATTATAAGTTGAGATGGTGGAACTAGAAATGTACACGATTTTTACCTATGGCGTTGAATAAATTCAAACGTTATAAATTATATTTTAATAAAAATATAATCTGAAAGTATGTAAATTTATTTAATTATAACTTTGTTTCTATGTAAGTTACATGTAATTTTATATTAGATAATACACTTCAAGCTTTTTTTCTAAGCCAATATTTTATGAAGAGAGACTACATGTTCATGTATATATCCATTAACACTTTTAAGCCACAGGACAACACAAAAAAAGCACAAACCCTTCAGTAGTAATGGAAATATCAGCATAAAAGCAAATAATTAACCAAGAATTTTTAAGTCGAAAAGGGGGAATAATTATGCAAAAAAGCAAATCAGAGTTACGGGACTTGTGCCAATCATGTAAGATAATCACAGAGAATAAGTGTGCGAAGTTTCAATCCATTCCCTTCAGTAGTTATGGAGATACCAGCTTGCACGCAAAAACTTAACCACAGGGACGCCGACGCCGACAAATGGGTGACTACGTTAGCTCGAATATTCTGCGAATAAATGCATGTTTCTCCAAAGAGACTTTTTTTTGCTGAAAGAAAAAAATACTGTTGCCTTAAGTAAGCAGATTTGAACAAATTTAAATTAAAATAAGGAATTGACTTCCCACATGTAAAAAAACAAAACGTTAAAACGTACGTTTGCTAAACGAAACCCACGAGAATGATAAAATTACACGAATACTTGTGCTAGAAAAATTATGTACAATGAATCATGGCGCTTCATGTACCCCATAGTTTTATTTAACGTTTTTGACGTTGTATGCCAGTAAAATCCACATAGTCGCGTTACTTGTATCATCAGTTTTGTTTCTAGTTTATCATCATTAAAAGCCGTGTCACGACAAAACCAACATAATGGCTTTGCGACCAGCATGGATCCAGACCAGCCTGCGCATCCGCGCAGTCTGATCAGGATCCATGCTGTTCGCTATCAGTTTCTCTACTTGTTATAAAGTTTTTAAGCGAACAGCATGGATCCTGATCAGACTGCGCGGATGCGCAGGCTGGTCTGGATCCATGCTGGTCGCAAAGCCATTATGTTGGTTTTGTCGTGACACGGCTCATTTATTATTGATGTTTATGTACAAAGCAGATGATGCAGTTTTACTGCGTAGAGCAGCGAGGAGCTTGCTATATACCTCAAATCACAGAAACATATTCCAGATAATTTCGGGTAATTAACATACACCCAGGCCTGCTTACTGTGGCACTACGTCAAATACTAAGACGTTTTTTTTTCTTGAGATTGTTTTCCTGCAATTGCAATTACAGGAATTGGCAGTGCCATGATTACGTAAATGCAGATGTTTTTCAGGTGATTTAATGGTAGGTCGGATACTTCACTATAAACTTATAGCAAAATATACAAAATATTTGTATGCTTGCAGAATTAATATTGTGCCTGTTTTTTTGATGCTGCTTCTGTTGTTGTTGTTTCGTCTTCTTTCTTTCTTCTGGGGCATATACATGTAATTCACAACCTGGTGACATAAAAAGCTAACAACAGTTTGTTGTGGGCATTCATTCAGTCCGTCGTTATCTCATTGTATGTTCACATTTTAATGAGGTACCTTCGAACATCTATGACCAGGTTTCTTACCCCAGTCGTTGTTCTAGTAACCATATAAGTAAAGATTGTTGGCTATGTTACGTTCAACTACGTATTTCTCCATAAACCGTTTTTTATTGAATACATACATGTGTGTATATATCACTATTGATATATATATATATATGTTTATAATTTGGCATTTTTATTGACCTCAGACATGTACATTTACGTTATTCGGCAATTTTAGTATGTCGAAGTAATAGATTTTGACTTTAAAGTATGGGATAACAGTAACCTGACTAAAGTTGAGATCTTCGTATATGTGTAGGCCTACATGTAAACATAAGAAGATCTGAACTTGAGATAAGTTTATACTTATTTGTTTTAGTTCGATTGTGTTGGAAGATTTATATAAGATTATTGAAACACTCTCGAATCCGTTCCTGGAACCAATTGACCAGTACTAAGCAATGAGTGTAAAGTTTCTTGCTCACCTAAACAACGACTTGCCCCTGAACTTAAGTCTTTTGTCAGATTGGGACAACAGTAAATAGAGGATATTCAAGTTTTTTTTTCTATAAATGCACGATTTACTTTCATTGAGTGAAATACGATAGTTCTCATACCACAAGATGAAAATAATTCCTGTATTTATAGAATAAAAACTTGAATTTTCTGTTTATTATATATACATTTTTCTCCTTTTTTTGACATTACAATTTGAAAGACTTTCCCTTAAATTTTGTATATTGGCTAAATTTAGAAGAAAGTATTCCGGCAAGACACCAGTGAATATACGGAAAATATGTTTCACTGCAGTAACTTTTTTAAGTGAAAATACGGAAATGAAAATATGCATTTTATTTCATCAATATTTCTAAATAGTTCATATATAAATATATAATAAATATATATATTTCTTAGAAGCTTAATTATGTACATGTCAATACAGAACTACTATGTCTACCACTGGGCCATTTTACATTATTTAAAAATGAAGCTGTTATAACGATACAACCTTCACAAAATCGTAAATTTATTTCCCGGATAATCTCCGTATATCGACCATTCTCAGGTGGATGAGAAAGTTAACCGCTTAAAACAATTGTTTTTAGGAGAAAAAACAAACACCCCCCCCCCCACAAAACAAAAACAACACAACAACAATAAACAACAACAACAAAAACCGGTGAATTAATAACCGGTGGTAACTGGCTGACAAATGTTTTAGAAATTATACTCAGACATATCGACACGTGACTTCTAGATTCAATCATGCGGAACTAAATCCGACAAATTGTTCTAACAGATTCTCTTAGAATTAACTTATTCTCTATAAAATACTCGGAACACGGGAATACATATGCACAAATGTTTATGTTTTGTTTCCCCAGGGGTATGATTTGCGTTTCATTAGTCTTTAAGATGTTCAGAAAAAAGGTAAAAAGTCCCAAAGTAAGCGCATCAATATTTTCTGTATTTTTTCCCCCAATAGATTTAATATACATATTAAAGTAATATAACGCGCATATCAAAAGTCTGACAGCGATTGAGAGAGAAGTGAAAATACACATGAACACCAAGGTAAATCTATTCAATGTTGTATCCCGCCGGCTTTAATACACAAATTAGCTAACATGACAGTGAACTTGATCAAAAATCCCCCAAAACTGAAAACTTGAATACAATCTCAAACTGAATAAAGTACATTCTGGATTAAAAACCTACGAATAGTAGATCCAAATGAAAAATCCTTAAGAAGAATTAGACTCGAATTAAAGTTCCCAAAACATAAGACCCAAAATAAAAGTCCCCAAATTTAATTAGATTCGAATTAAAGTCCCATCATGCATAAAACCTGAATAAAAAATCGACCAAATGTCATAATACTTAATGAAAGTCTCCAAAAATCAGACCCCAATGCAAATTAAAACCCTGTTACAAAATGTTTAACCATTAGACAGAAATTAAAATCCCCACAAATATAGCATCACCATTTAAACCATTCTGGAATGATTCCTAACTCATTTTAAAGTTTAATTTGTTTTCATTTTGTAAGAAAACCCCAAAGCAGCGAAAGAACGGAAATCTTTATGGGCCATAAAAACTAAACATTATTTACAGAAAAGAATTACCTTCATTAAAACAAACATAGTCGCTTTAACAGAGTGTGCAACCTGTTTTAGACTGTAGAATAGATTACATCGCTGTTTTAAATAGATTATAATCGAGATTTTATTTTTTCAGCCACTTAAGAGGCCCCGCACCTAAATTTTGTGGTTACATTGATCGTTATCTTAGTAGAACAAGCATTGCAGGAACATTTTAGTATGAAGAACCTGTACAGGTAACTTTAGCCACTGTGTCTAACTGGTACGAGAGATTGACGGATATTTCTGGTGCAGTTATTCCGAATTCAGGGCACGTAAAGATGTAGAAATATTGAAATATAAATTTTTGTTATTAGATTTGATCATTTTGGTTTATATAATGTAAGATTTACATTTGAAAGGAACAAAAAGACACTGTAAATAACATAATTACTATAAGTCTATTATGTTTACTGAGTTTATAGTAAATGTCTCATTGACATAAACATTGCAACATTTTCATCATCATCTCTTATATCCTCGTCATCATCATTGCCATACTAATAATAATGATCATCATCATCAGCAGCAGCACCATAATAATAATAATAATAATAATAATCATAACAATAATATAATAATAAAAATTATAATCATCATCATCATTATCATAATAATAATAATAATAATAATAATAATAATAATAATAATAATAATAATAATAATAATAAAAAATAATAATCATCATCATCATTATCATCATAATAATAATAATAATAATAATAATAATAAAAAAAAATAAAAAAATAATAATAATAATAATGATGATGATGATGATGATGATGATGATGATGATGATGATGATGAAGATGATGATGATGATTATAAAATTAATTCATCATCATCATCATCGATCATTACGACAATCATATCTTTGTGACAATTAGCAAAATAACAATCATCATCAGCAGCCGCCGCATTGTTGAAAAAGACAAAACAATAACAACAACAACAAAAACAACAACAGTATTGGTTATGATGATAATGATGGCGATGGTGATGAAAACAAAACTAACACCACCACCACCATTACATCAATTACATAAGCAAAACAACAACTTAAATATCAATATAAACTTAACTACTAGCGCTTAAAGATAGAAAACGCAAAACTTTTTTACAGGTATCCGTTAATCTATGCGTACGCTTGCACACAGTGGAACTGTTGCTATTAATTTCTCACCTTCCCAAGACGTTTATGTTTCTATCCGCTGTTTCTTTTGTCATTTAGGTATGTGCCCTTGCATTGCGATGCTACACGTTTCTGTCGGAAGAATATAACCATGAATGGTTCCGCCACAAAATGGATAAGTACGAGTGTTGCTGGAAAATACGAAAAATGCAGCAATGGAAATCTTTCAAATGGAAATCATGTCTTTATTAAGGAAATTGTAAATGTAAGCACTATGCATACAAAAGTGACTACGACTAAAACCACCACTACGGCCAATATGACGTTAGACAGTGAAACGGGAGAAAAAACGGTGACGGAATTTAGCGTGTCAGGTGTGTCGGAATTTACGGAAGTTGACAGACGACATAAAGATGAAGTACATTGTCATATCGACTCCCATGCAGAAAAAGGTGATAAAGGTGTTTATGATTCTGATGATTCCGACGAAGAACATAATTCCAAAGGATTAACAAAGTCTTTTTTAGATGGATTAACTATATGCCAATATAAATTAAAGTGAGTATATAAGATAATGTATATTAAAGGCCCATAATGCCTAAAAAGCAATATTTTTTATTTCTCAAAGGCATTCTATTTTTGGTATCTTGTTACAGTTTAAAATAATACTCATTTTCCATATAGATGGACTATCTTTTAATTCTTATGCTCTGTTGGCAAGTGGTATAATAATATTGAATGGAAGTCAAAATACTTCTTTGTTTACGTTTTGCTACCTTTACGACACATTACGGAGTATAAATCGTTCCTTTCTTTACTTGCTAAACATCTAATATGCTTTAAATCCATAACTGAAACATTATTAAACATGTGTTTGACATTTCTTAAGAATAATAAATATGCATTTCTGAGGAATAATGTGCCTTTAATTCTATGTATTTGTATTTGAACAACCCCTTTTGTGATCGTTCTCTACCATTTCCCCCCTTATATTTCTTTCACAAGACTCGTTTTTATCGTTCTCAACACTCGTACCGCCCCTTGTCCCCCTGTCCCCCCAACCCATCCTCTTTCTACCGAAAGACGAACACCAATAGCAAAAGTGGTAAACCATTAACCGGAAACAGGTCCGTTAAATTTGACCGGAAATGGCTGCAAAATTTAGGCCTTGTCTGGTAATACATTTTGTCTACGTTTAGTCCAATAATTCATTCATCGCCACCGCCATTTTACTAAATATATTTGAATATCAAAAAGTTTTACAGTTACTGAGCATAATAAAAAACCTTACATCGCCAAATATTTTAAATTAATTTGTCTAGACAAAACCATTCATCATTTTAAGGGACAATTTTAAAACATGCACTGACCTTATACAAACGGTGCCGACCATCATCTTGGTCCGCACTGCGCGCATGCGTAGACCCAGTTAATCCCAGCAGGCTAAGGGTCAAGGACACTCAAATCATTTTCAGTCATCCTACGTGCTAGAATATTTCATGTTGTTTAGGTTCTTTTTTTACTACATACATTTTGCTACATACATATTCAATATGTTCTTTCTTGATTATTCGGAATTATTTTATCTGATGATATAAAAGCCCGAGGCAATCTCTTACTGTTTGTGGCTGTAAGAATGAGTCTACCAACTAATGCTTAATGCCAAATAACTTATAGGAACCATAAAACATAACTGTACTTTAAGTACATGCATTTTTTTTATAAAAATAATCGTTCATGGTGTACCTCTATTGAAATCTTGCCAATAACATCTATAATAAATATTTATTACATCATTTATTAACAAATTAAAGAAAAACAACACAAAAACAACATCTATTTCGAATCACTGCGTACAATTTGGAATTCTAATTCTTATTAATCATTTACGTTTATAATTGCCACATCGAAGCATTTACGATTATCGATACATAAGTTAAAATAGAACAAGATTTGTTATCATTACATTCAAACAGTTACGACTTTGTATTGAAATTTTAGTAATAAATATATACACTGTAGTTAACTTTTACATTTTGATATATTATAGCTGTCCCCTTTTTTGTACCGATTTATACGATGATTTATATAAAGGTACTCTAATATCGGTACTCAGAATGTCAATACCGATACATTAAACCAGTTTCCTCTATATATCGATACAATTAAACGATTTTTTTATTCATAGATACATTTAACAAGTTACCTAATTTAAATCGATACATTAAACCAGTGTCCTCTTTATATCGATACATTAAACCAGTTTCCTCTATATATCATTACAATTAAACGATTTTCTCGTCATATAATCGATACATGTAGAAAGTTATATTTTGATACAAATACATTTGATCGGTTAAACTGGGCATATTGAATATCAAAATCGATTACATCAGATGTGGTCACTGTCACTTAAAACATTTATAACAGTTACACCGTCGTAAAAAAGTAATTTTCCAGTGAGGATCGTACGGAAAAGACAATTCTTGCACCCTCACCTCACCCCAACCCCCTTAACAATCCCTGGAAAACCGCCATGGCAGTGTGCACTGCAAGAAAATCAACATTAAAATGATATATCTTCTTTTACATCGACTCCTCAACAACTCGGTAAAATCATTATAACAACACCTCGTAAAATCTACTTTTTGCCACTTCTTTCCAGCTCTAGATTTAATTGAAAAACCATCTCAAAACTGGAACAAATTTACGAGAAAAGACTATCATTTGGGTTATTTTTAAACTTTAGTCTAAATTCCATACTTTGTAGTTGTCTTTAAAATCTCACGTATTTACATTTGATGTATTTTAAAGGCACATTATGACTCAGAAACGAATACATTCGTCATTATTTTAGAAAAGGGCACACACTGGTTTAATAACTTTTAAAATAATGGTTATAAAACATGTTAGATGCTTGTCACCCAAAGAAAATAGCGCTGAATGTGAACTTGTTTGTCTTAAAAGTATCAAAATGTAAACGAAGTAGTATTTTGACTTTCATACAAAATACTAAATCACTATTATGGCACTAATTACCAAAATGCACCATAAGCAAAAGATGATTAAGTTTACTGGCCAATGAGTAACTTTTGGGACACCAAAAGGAAACCCGAAATAAAAAGCTTTCGAGAAATAAAAATAAAAGCATTCATGAGACATAATGGGCCTTTAATAGTTTGAATATATTGAATTGATATTTGTGTTTGTTGAGGGCCTCATGGACGATTGGTATGTTGTTCAAATGAGTTCTATTGTTAAGTAAAGTCTTCATTATAATTATTATTATCATTATTAACTAAACATGTAATAATAACATTTTTAAGAACGCAGGATTTTTTTTAAAAGCGATTATACGTTTAGAATATAAATATGAATTCTAATAAATAACTGTATTATAACAGTATAGATAATAAATAATTTGTGGGGAAACGCTTGCCAGCTAGTCTTAGTGATTTCAAAACGTAAGACCGCTCTAAACAACAATAGATATATAACTTGTTTAGTTTTTATCATTGAAATAACTGACAAATTGGACCAATGACTTTTATTTGTTATTTGTATCCTACGCATTTCTTTGATATTACGTACATGTGTTGAGTAGTTTATTTAAGGATGCTAACTGACTAATTACTTGGCTTACAATACCGTGTCAGAAGTTCAGCCCAAGTGCACGGCATACAAATATTCTTAGAAAACATTTTTTTTCTGCGTAGGCCGTTTCTGGCTTTGCAATCAGACTTGACTTGCGAACGGTCATAGACTATTGTTATTATTATTATTACCGTAAAGAAAATCCAAAGAGAAAAAAAGTTGTTTTCGGATACACTGGAGAGCACCGCCTGATCTTCATATGCCAATGCTTATGAACTCAGCAATTACAATATTGCTTTTCTGGCCATCTCTTATTTCCACAAACAAACTGTAAACACAGTATGCCGCTAATTCCTTACATAAACATACATTAATTTAGCGAAGCTGTATGGTTAATTGATGGTGGCCGCAGTCCGAAATTGTAAAAACAAATGAAAATTATCTCAACGTTGTCTAGATAAAAAGATATCCGACATGGTAATGGTAAAATGATGTGTTCCAAATGTAAAGCAACTTATGATTATGGCCTAATTAAAAGATGAATAATTTATTTTAAGAGAAGGACAGCTTACTTATGTTGTCAGAACGCGTCATTCAACCATTTTGCCCCACGGTTGTAACTGATATTTTGCATACTATCATAAAGTTGATAAATAGAAAAATGATATTCAAATAAAAAATAACGTTTTTTATGTTATCAAAGGATAATACTTAGTGTTGTCGCTGACGTTTTGCATACTATCATTAAATTGGTAAATGAAAAAAAAAGATATTATTCAAATACAGAAATAACATTATTCTGTTATCAAAAGACAAGACTTAGTGTTGACGTTTAAGACAGACGTTGAAATTACACCGTGACAATGTAGTTACCTTTTAAATGTCGCTATCGAAATTCTCTTAAAAATATAACAAAGTTTAGAGTAAGTTGAAGAAACTCAGTTAAAAGTTATGAATCGTCTGCCTATATATATGTAAATGTTGTTGTAAAAGAAGCTCAAAGTCAAATTTATGAAGCTCATGAATTTGCCAATTAATCTAATTACGCATTTAGTTCTTTAAGCAAGGTAAAATATTTGAATTTGTCCTAGAAAACAACGATTTTAGAACCGTACTTGAACTTTGTTATCATTACGTAGTAAGTTTGCCATGAACATATAAGAAAGCGAAGAAAAAATAAAGTTATCATTTTATTTAAGAGTATGTGATATCACGGTCTAAGTGTTTTCACTCAAACATGGTGATTAAGATTATAATCTTCGCTCCCCCGCCCGCTCTTTCCCCAAACACACTTTCTTCCTTTTTTCCTTCCAGTGGTCATTTCTGATATGTATCTAACGATTCTAGAATATCTCTGTCCATCTTAACCACTTCTTGTACTTATCTTCGCCAGTAGATAGGTTTATATCTTATCTTGTCAGTAGAACTACTTTTATCTGCAACCGAACTACTTTTTATCTAGGTAAATAGTAATTTGAAACAAGTGTTCGGAGAATAAATCGACTCCTTGTCCAGCGGGCAGACATTGTCGGACTTGTACATTTGCTAACACCTGTTAACAATGAAGATATGCATGTACATTTATCTATCCAGAATGTGCCGACTTTAGTTTTGGCCAAGGTTTAAGGTGAAGGTATCAGAGAAATATATAAACATTTTTTTCATAATACAAAATGTACATTTGTATAAAAAAAAAAAAAAAATTAATTGCTAACTTTCAGACGTTATAAATTTTATCCACATTGTTGTTTTTCTGAATCTATTACAGTTCTGACAAACAACGATTTGGATTTGGATAACGGTCCTGTTTAAAATTAGGCACTTTTAAATGTTCACGCATAAGTCGCAGATATATATAGATTATGACGTAGAATAGTTCTATAGTTGACGTCATTTACAATAAGTTTAGATACGACACGAGAGGTTTTACTTTGTTATATCGCATTTAGTGGAAAGTTTATAAG